GAGTTTTTTAATAGCTACTGCTGAGGTGAGCCTTATATGTTAAGATTATCTGAAGATAAGACTGCAGCTCATTGGCTCAAAGTTCAAAGGAAAGCATTAACTTCAAGGACATAAATCACTGAGTTGCTATCCATCAATTTGTAACAGAAGTGCAGATGAACAACATTTATCTAGACAATATAGTGTCATGTACCTGCAGTTTGAAGTCAGTCTATGTAGGGGCTTATGTAGGTGCTTTGAACTGTTTTGCAGAGATGAGAGTTCAAATTTATTCTTATTCCTTAATTTGAAGTACCAGGTTGGCTTGTGTGTCTTTTCCAGCAGCCAATATTAACCCCATTTTGCCCATCCTTAAAGCCAGATTAGGTTTTGCTTCAGTTATGGCGCTGAGATGGATTACAGAGCTTTATTTTCTAGCACTCCATTGTTTGCTATTTGTTTCCTATATGTTAGTTTTTCCCCACAAGTTGGCTGTGAGCTCTGCGGGTCTGAGACATGTGGCTTACTGTAAAATCTGCAGTACCAGAACTTACAAAGTTAAACACGTAAGGGGACCATCAACTAGAGTAGAAAATTGAGCCAGACTAGATGGGGCCTGTGTCAAAAGGGGAAGAACATATACCCTTGGTAAAATATCATTCCAGCAGATTCTTACCTTATAGAAATGTGAGGTCAGTGTTACCTGAATAAAATATATTCACTGATGCTTTTTGGTCTGTAGCCTATCAGTTTGCTGCTACTTTCTTAGAACATAGTTCTGTGTATGCAGAAAATACTTCCTTGTCATTGTTGCTTATTGTGTCATAAAACTGGCTATACTGCTTTTGAAGGACTGGCTATCTTAGATGTAGTACAAGTAATATGAAGTAAGATGTGAAAGAATATTCTCTTCTGCTAAAGGATTTTCCCTTTTTGAAAGAAGGTGAATACACTAATAAAGAGATTAACTCTTATTCTAGAATCAACAGACATGGATATTGAATCTTCACTGTTTTGTCCACAGAAAATTTTGGATCACTTTCCAAGCTAGAAACCTGTGATAACACATTATAGTAAGTTACTGTATATTCTGAGGGCTTTCATAAGAATGATAGAGTGAATTGTTAGGTAACCTGAGTGCCTTGCAATTAAGGTGTCTATTTTTTTCTTCGAATTCTGCAATAATCATTTATTCTTCCTTTTTTCCCCACCACTCCCAAGCGATGTTATTAGGATGTACTCTTGGTTCTTCTTTTGCAGTATCTCCTGCCCCATTTCTTCCAATTCATTCCTGTGGATACCATCCTAGTTTGAACTCTATCATCTTGGGACATCTACACTAGCTTCTAACTGCCTTTTCTGTTCCATATTTAGAGTGCATCCAGGTTTTTGGTTTTGATTTTTCTTAATCTGCTTCTTGGGTCATAAACAAACTGATTAAAAACAAAAACAAACATACATACACACCAGGAAAAAAAAGACTTCTTTCAGCTCTGCACTCTCTTGACCAAACTCCATATCCTCCATTCCCCTTCTAATCTTATCATTTCCTATCCCTTAAAGGGTAGTCAGCATGTTCTCCACTCCTTCTAGCAGCCTCATTCCACTCTCTCGCTTTTCCTTACACTGTTTTTTTCTAAGGGGAATGACCTCTCTTCTTTATGCCTTTTATCACTTCTTTTATTATTGTACTATTCTTTAAACCTTTTACTGTTTGTTCTTTCACTACCAGGGTAGGTTAGAAGTTTCTTAAGGGCAGGGACTGTATTTCCTGCTTCATCTTTGAGCTCCAGATAATGCTTAACACTATTGCAGTGTTTGTAGCAGGCACTAGCAAATATTTTTTAGTTTGATTATTTATATTTTCCCTCATTCATATTTTTTATTGTGGTAAAATGTACACAGCAAAAAATTAACCATTTTAAGTACACAGTTCTGTGAAATGAAGTACACTCATGTTGTTACACAACAATAACCACATCCATCTCCAGAACTTGTTCATTTGCCCTGACTGAAACCTGTGCCCATTAACGCAAACTCACTGCGCCAGCTCCCCCAATTCCCTGCTGCCTACAACTGGGCAGCTACTATTCAACCTTTTTGTCTCCATTAATTTGACTATTCGAGGAACCTCTTAGAGGAATTAAGCAATGTTTGTCCTTTTGTGACTGGCTTATCTCACTCAGCATAATGTCTTCAAGGTTTATGTTACAGCATGTATCAAAATTTGCCCCTTTTTCAGGTTAAATAATACTCAATTGTATGTATATTACAACATATATACCATGTTTTGTTTATACATTCATCTGTCAATGGACACTTGGGTTATACTTCTGCCTTCTAGCTATTGTAAATAATACTGCTATGAACATGTATGTGCAAATATTTGTTCTATTTCCTGCTTTCACTACTTTTAGAAATATACCCAGAAGAGGAATTGAGGGATTGTATGGTCATTCTATGTTTAAATTTTTAAGGAATCACCATACTCTTTTCCAGCAGCTGTACCATTTTACATCTCTATGATCAATGTATGATGAAGTTGCTCCACATCCTTGTCACCACTTATCTCCTGTCTTTCTTTTTTTAAAATAATAGTCATGCTAATGGATGTGTGTGAAATCTCAGTGGTTTTGATTTGCTTTTCCCTAATGAGTAGTGATGTCAAGTATCTTTTCATATGTAATATCTTCTTTGGAAAAATATCTATTTAAAACCATTTTAAAAATCGGTTTCTTTTGTTGTTGTTGAGTTGTAGGAGTTCTTCATATATCCTAGATATTAGCTGCTTACCAGACATATAACTTGCAAATATTTTCTCCCATTATGGGTGTCTTTTTACTCTGTTGTTAGTTTCCTTTGATGCACAAAATTTTAAATTTTGATAAAGTCCAGTTTATCTAATTTTTTCTTTTGTCGTCTGGATTTATGGTGTCATTTGAAAGAAATCATTGCCAAATTCATGTCATGAAGCTTTCCCCCTATGTTTTAAGTTTTATGGTTTTAGCTCCTACTGTTGGGTCATTGACCCATTTTGAATTAATTTTTGTATATGGTATAATGTAAGAGTCCAAATTCATTTTATAGCATATGCATATTCAGTCTTCCCAGCACCATTTGTTGAAAAGACTTACTTTCTCTACTGAATGGTCTTCCCCTCATTCGTATTTCATTGAATGAACTTCAACTTTATTGGCTGTCACAGTTGTGGTTGTTGTAAATTTTGAGATCTTCCCTGTTACTATCTTGTCTTAGAGACTTAAAACTTGCTTGTGTTTTCTTCCCCACTTAGAAATAAGAGGAGAACCTGGGAAGACATATGTTGAAAAAAGAATGAACATTTCTCTATCCTCTTAACAGCTTCTTGTTTAGATTTAGGAACCCTCTTTGCTTTGTACATCACCTTCTTATTTCTTGAAACATAGTAGAAGTAATAGAATACTAATATTCTAAATAAAGTCCTTTTTGTTGGTCTGAAAATTTATTTTTAAGTGACTTAGCCTCTCTGGGCTTTTGGTTTTTTTTCTGTTAAGTGAGAAGATTCAGCTAAATGATATGTCATTTATCTTTACTATGGACATTCTATGATTTTAAGATTTTGAATAGTTAATAAAAATCCAGTGGAGAGTGAAACAGTTTTATCAAATGAGTGCATTAAAATTGATATCCCCAAGACTATATTATCTTTATTACTTTGTCTGCAGTTTTGGTGTTTTCTCTATATATGAACGGAAGTTTTAAACATAGCTATGATGAGTTTCTTTCAGTGGTAAAAAACTTGGTTTCTAAGTGTTATTGGAGTTTGTAGTATTGCCATCTCTATTTTTTTTATGTACTAAGGAAAAGAGACATTAAGATCATGTACATGAAATATGTTTGTACATGAAGAGAGAGGACCACCAAAACCCAGGTGAAAAAATTGAGAGTAGAACAGAGACAGACACCTCTTTTTTGGAAAGTCAGAGAATTCTGCAATCTAGAATCCCGGGAGTGTTTTGAATGCTTCATCACTGAATACATCTTTGAGAGGCCCATGTTTGTGTGCTACATAGGCATATATTAAGATTGTTGAAAAAGCCATTTTTACCTCATCTCATCTGTAGTTTTGATTGCATAATTATATAAATTTACCTGTTAAACTACAGTTACAAGATGGTTGAATTCATTTTACTTTGTAAAATATTTGTCACTTACTGTGTTTGCCTCGTCATCTATATTAACTTAATGCAGAAATGAAAACGATAACCACTACTATTTATTGAGTGCTTGATAAATTTGTTTTAATTTTGTTATTGTTTTTATACCTTTTCAAAGAAACGATGTTTTAGTAACAGTATCTATCAGAAACTATTCTAGATGCCCAGGAGAGGAGTTCATTCATTACAAACAGTGAATTTCTTAAGAATTTTGAACTATCTGAATGTATTATTACTAGTACTGTCATTAATACTAAAACCATTAGCAATAAATTACAGTGATTTATTATCTTTAAAACCTTTTATTTGGGATTCTAACATATGTTTAGAAAAAGAAATAAAAGTCTTGGTTCTATTAAGTATTATTTCAAATACAGCACTAATTCTATTTATACTTAAGTATTCTGGGCTGGAGTCAGACTGCTGCTAGTCACTTTGAGCAGCAGGACTTATATAAAACTGAAATGGGAAGTAAATCTGGCATGTAATAGCAAAATTTGGGGGTAGATATGTTTAACTGAAGGATGTCCTTCATTTGAAGGGTTAGAAATGCAGTCTTCTTTGGAGACTGATCAAAAATAATAGATAAAATAAAGAATGATGTGCTCAATAAGCTACAATTCAAATAGAGGAAATTTAATGGGAAATGATTACATTAGTTGCAGATGGACTTGCTTCCTGAATTGCAGTCTTACTGGAAATTCTAGAACAGCTTAAATTTGTTTTTCAGATTTTGAGTCTGATAAAAAGTTAGATAAAGAGATTTGTTTATTTGGTGTGCTGTTGTGATTCTTACTGTGTCTTTGGATATTTCATTTTTACTAGGCTATTTTTATGATTCCCACAAATCCACCACCAACATTCAGGAAGCCAGAACTTTGGTCTGATGATTTCACCGATTTTGTTAAAAAGTGCCTAGTGAAGAATCCTGAGCAGAGAGCTACTGCAACACAGCTTTTACAGGTCAGTACTTACCCCTCTAGGGAAGGGTATTTTCTTTATCCTTTCAGCTTTCTAACATTGATCAGAATTGCTCTGAGCTTCATTAACTGATTTCTAAAGAAGTAAACCTCCTAAGAAATAGGGATTGATAAAGACACACACACACCCATTCTTATGTGTTCTCTTTGTCTCATTTTTTTCTTTTGTTTTTCAAATTCAGTCTTTTCTTTTCCTCTTTCTTTGTATTTTGTTGTTGTCAACTCTTTTTTCCTGAAGTCACTTTGAAACAAACCTTCCAAAGAGCTCTCATTTCAGAAATTAATTCTTGTCTCAATTGTTGCTTTTGCCCATGTTCTTTTCCCTGCTGTGATTCCTTGATCCATCATTTTGTCTTTGACTTCCTGCTCTGTTGTAAGATTTGTAAATATAGGATCCCTAAATTCCCTGAAAAGATCCTATGTTGTATATGCTGATTACAAGATTATCTAAACGAAGAGTTTCAGTATTTTTGCTGCAAATATCTGCTACAAGACTTTTTGTATCCATAGTGTCAAAAGGGGTTTTATCTGCCTTGACATTTAATACAAGTAGAAATAATTTAATACTTTCAATGAATATTTGTGATTCTTTATTTTTCCAACAATAGGCTCAGACTGCTAAGCTAATAATAAATATGTCTCACATTAACAAAACATGATATTTGGAAAATAATACCTTTTGTTAAGTGAAAAGATTCAAAACATGATTCTTATAAAAAGTGATTTTTCCAAATCTATTTTTAAAAAGAGATTTGTTAAGGGTATAAAAACCATAATGTTTCCTAAATATAGTGATTATGTTAAGAAAATTTCATACTCAGTCTCCACAGAAGGCAATTTAACAGTAGCTATCTAAAATAAAATACCATACAATCTTTGACCCAGCAATTATACTTCTAGAAATTTACTCTACAGAAAACCATGTATGAAACAACATATGTGTAAAAATATTCAGAACATTGTAATGTTCTGATTGTAATGGCAGAAGATTGGAAACAACATAAATATCCATCAACAAATTGGAAGCAATCTAAGGTAACAGTATACACACTTATATACACATATGTGTGTATATGTACATCTATCTATATGTACATGTATTTATGTATATGCTCTCTCTCTNATATATATATATATATATAGTCAATGCTTGTATGCTTGTAGTGGAGTAGCTCTGGAAAAATATGTAAGAAACTAGCTTCCAGAAAAGGTAACTATATGGATGAGAAAACCAGGAGTAAGATAGAGACTTACATTTTTCTGAATGCTCTTTTGAGCCCTTTGAGTTTTGTGTTATGTGTAAATATTACCTTTCAAAAATTCATTAGTTGAAAAATCTAATTTGAAATATTATCAGCATTTCAAATGAATTTTGAACACATAAATCAAGGACCTATTAGTACTGTTGTCATATTGAGTATCTAAAAGATTCAACCCTAAAGAAGGCAAGACAGGAGTTGGGAACAAAAGGTGCGACAAATAGCACAAAATATGGCAAAAGTAAATCCAAATAGGTCTGATAACTGACTTTTGGATCATTTAACCAGTATTTTTTTCTAGTCTTTCTTCCATAATCTTTTGTAATCTTCCTTGAGAAAAGAAATTCTGTTGTTTTAGGATGGGAAAGCATTTAAGGAATATTCTAGCATAATTCCCGAATTTTCTGCATATAAGACTTGAAGCCCAGAAAGTGAATGACTTACTGAAGATCACACAGTGAAAGTGATTGTTCTAGGTTTATTCCATTTGCTTCTTAGCCCCACTCTTCACCCTTTCTCCACCCTTGTCTGCCTAGGAAGTTGACCTGAGAAAGCTACATTAACAAGCTCTGTTACCTTCCAGCTTTTAGTTGGGTTGGCCCAAACACCCTTCTTTATAATAAGGGTAAACAATGTAACTGGTTTTGTATAGTGTTTATGGCCAACTTTTTGCTTTCTTGATTTTTATTTTTTCTATTGTACTATTGTTAATCATTCAGGGCTCTCTGTTATAATATGGTGTCTTTGGCCTCTTAAAACTGACCCCTTGCCACCTCCCTGTTTTCCTTTATAAATACTGAAATAATAGATTTGTAGTTTCTTATGCAGACCATATTTTTTCAATCATCTGTACCTTTTCTCATGCTGTTACCCACACCCTTCCGTAGTTTAAAAACTCCCTTCACCAGCAGGCTCCTTCTTACTCATTGTCTAATTGTTTCTAACTAAAATTAGGTACTCCTCCAGGAAGCCTTTCCTTCAGCTTTATTTAGGCTAGTTGTCATTTCTCTGTGTTCCCATAAGTACCCTGTGGGTATCATTTACCATATCAGACTTAAACAGCTTGTTTCTATGTCTTTGTCCTACTTTGTAATTCAGGGACAGGGTTATGCCTTTTGGAGGTGACTGCTTTTGCACTCCTGGTATCCAGTATTTAATACATGTGTATTGAATTTAATATGTGTTTATTTAACATAACAAAGTTCTGATTTAAAATATTTTCTAGATAGGATAATTATCTTTAGTTTCATTAGTGTCACATTAGAAACATTGGAGTCTTATTTTGCTGGATGCCTAGAAGCCAGTCTGTCTCTAAAAGGAGATTTACACAGGTCTTTTATATTATGAGTTAAATTATTTTTTAACTCTCAGTGGTCATCTTTTTACTAAGTTTTAGTTGGACACATATTTATAAGCTACATGTACAGATTATGTCATATTGATTTTTAAACACTATGAAAGAAACAGTTTTTAAAGAGAAGTTCATACTGAATTTTTTTTGTGGTAATTTATTTTCTATAACACATTTGTGTCTAAAGTGTAAGTTTAAAAGAATCATAGACTGAAACGATCCTTTGAAATTTTTTAGTTGAACTCTTAGCAGTTTTTAATAGATGAGGAAATGGAAATTCTAAAGATACTAAAGGACAGGTTTCAAGATCAACCTAGTAGTGTTAGAGTTCCTGACCTAAAGAAGATTCTTAAACCTGCTGGTGAGGAACCTAGAACCTGAAAATCAGCTCAAGTTGGCCTCCTGTGATGAGGTTAGGTTTACTGAGATCTGCCATTATTTGAACTGACCCCTGGAGTTGGCTGAAATATGTGTTGTCATGGTTTACTCTTTGAATACCCATGGCATGTGACATTTTTTTTTAAATTTAAGTATTGTTGATATACAATCTCATATTGGTTTCAAGTATACAACACAGTGGTTCAGCAGTTGCCCATATTATTAAATCCTTACCCCCACTAGTGCAGTTACTATCTGTCAACAAAGGAAGATGTTACAGAGAGCTTGGCTGTATTCTCCATGCTGTACTACCATCTGTCTGATGAACTTACATTATGATTGAGCATTTTTGTGCCCTTTTATCCCTCCCCCACTCCAAACCCTTTCCCATGATAATCATCAGTCACTTCTCAGTGTGACTTATTCTTCTTTTTACCAATCCAAGTGAAGAGTAGAAACTATCTATCTTGTTGTCACTCCTGTATGTAATATAATTGTCTTTCTTAAATACTTCCTTTTCACATTGAAATCCATAGCAGTATTATATTTGCTTTAACCTTTAAATAATGGAGAAAACTCAAGGAATAAGGGAAATCTATTATATTTATGATATTTTTGCTTTTTCCATTATTTTTTGTCCTGATGTTCCAGAATTCCTTCTTTTATTACTTTCTTTCTGTCTAGAGGCCTTCCCTTCAGCCATTCCTTCAGGGAAGGTCTGTGGCAACAAATTGTCTTAGTTTTCCCTAATCTAAGAATGTCTCAATTTCCTCTTCATTCTTAAAGGATATTTTCATTGGCTATAAAATTCTTGATTGACAGTTTTCATTCAGCACTTGAAGAATGTTGTGCTACTTTCTTCTGACATCCATGGCTTCTTATGAGAAATCTGTCATCTGAATTGTTTAACTCCTTGCTCTTCTCAAGACTTTTCTTTGTCTTAATTTTCATAATTATGATGTGTCTTGGTATGGACTTCTTTGTATTTATCCTGTTCAGCTTCTTGAATCTATAGGTTTATGTCTCACCAATTTTGGAAAGTTTTAGCCATTATTTTTTCAAACACATTTCCAGCCCTAACGTTGTTCTAGGACTACATTAACATAAATGTTGGATCCCACAGGTCCCACAGGTCCCTGAGGTTGTGTTAATTTTTGTTCCAGTCTTGGGTATTATTTTGAAACTGTGGATCTTATTTAAATTTCCTGTTGTCATGGGTGTCCTCTGACACTGCTTTGGTGGGGGAAAGGGATTAGCAGTTTTTAATAGATGAGGAAATGGAAATTCTAAAGATACTAAAGGACAGGTTTCAAGATCAACCTAGTAGTGTTAGAGTTCCTGACCTAAAGAAGATTCTTAAACCTGCTGGTGAGGAACCTAGAACCTGAAAATCAGCTCAAGTTGGCCTCCTGTGATGAGGTTAGGTTTACTGAGATCTGCCATTATTTGAACTGACCCCTGGAGTTGGCTGAAATATGTGTTGTCATGGTTTACTCTTTGAATACCCATGGCATGTGACATTTTTTTTTAAATTTAAGTATTGTTGATATACAATCTCATATTGGTTTCAAGTATACAACACAGTGGTTCAGCAGTTGCCCATATTATTAAATCCTTACCCCCACTAGTGCAGTTACTATCTGTCAACAAAGGAAGATGTTACAGAGAGCTTGGCTGTATTCTCCATGCTGTACTACCATCTGTCTGATGAACTTACATTATGATTGAGCATTTTTGTGCCCTTTTATCCCTCCCCCACTCCAAACCCTTTCCCATGATAATCATCAGTCACTTCTCAGTGTGACTTATTCTTCTTTTTACCAATCCAAGTGAAGAGTAGAAACTATCTATCTTGTTGTCACTCCTGTATGTAATATAATTGTCTTTCTTAAATACTTCCTTTTCACATTGAAATCCATAGCAGTATTATATTTGCTTTAACCTTTAAATAATGGAGAAAACTCAAGGAATAAGGGAAATCTATTATATTTATGA